GCGCTAACAGTACGGCAAATTATCGAACCGGCTACAGCGCGTCTGTGCATGAGGTCAATATTGTACACTTCTCATCTCACGCATTATTACAAGAAGCTGCGGGTTGTTCACCAAACAAAACACGGGAATTTCGGCAACTTGTGAATTAGACCATGCCTTGCCTCAGAGTTATTCAATAGTTCACAAACAACTCATTCGCAGGTTTTTTTGTCCCTCAACTGTTAATAGGCATTAAATCCAGAATTTATGCGAAATGGCAGGATTACCTTCTTGAACGGTTTATTTTTGACGATATACACGAGTTGACGCTTGTTTGACGTTTGACCCAAGCGTTCATAAAATTAGATGTGGAAACACTTACGAATTACCAGTATTGTTACCAGTGCCTATGTCTCAATAATACTATGACAATAGATCGCTCAAGTGCTCTACCCTCCACAGTGATTAACAATTCCGTTAGACTCTGAAACAACCTGCATAGGCTGGCATATAATGATGTGACCGTTGCAATGATCCCTGTGTCCCACTGCGAAAAACACACAACGGTCGTTTCAGGGTAGAAGTACCGCAAGAAAAAATTGTGTATAGACAAGGGAACTCAATAAACGCACTTGCGATTACATCACATCGAACAAGGAAGCATGACAGTGAAATATGACTGGCGCTGCGAAGGTAGAAGCTGACAAGGTCGCGGTGCTTCTTTACAGCGATGCAAGAGCGCATTCGTAGCGCGAATTTCTGCACGGCTATATTAGAGACGGGGAAATAAGCATGGAAACAAGGACGCCGTTATTCATTGCACAATATAAACTATTTCTGAAAAGCGCAAAAGTGTAACGGCAAATTAAACTTTGCATTATGACCAGACGACGCACGTATTACAATTCATGTCAAACAGAAAGAAGCAGTGAGTTATCTTATCACTGTACAGTATATTGAAGCATTATGCATTGTACTATTCTCTATCGTGTGATATCTTTTATAAGTAAGCCTTATCTTGTGTTGTCAAAAATAATTGCACTGGAATTTTATGTCAAATGGTGTAGTCGAATAATCACTTGTAATCAAACCCTAATTTTAATTGCTCTTTGCGAGTGGGCAGAAGTCGCAACGAGGAAGTATATCAGGCACGTTATTACTCAAATTTATAGCAGTAGTATATATAATGAGCAAATCAACACAATCTGCACAAGCGGCCTAAATCATGGGTTAACGATAATTTATCCCCGATCAAAAACCTGGAAATATGCCCATGATTGACCATGAACTTTTTCAACCCATAAATGCCGAGATTTACCCAAGGCTTGACCAAGAGCGAGTGTCGTTTCAGAAGATACTGCCGTTTTCTTCCAAAGTGCAAAAGTAAGTAGTAGCCACATTGATCACGTAGCGCCATCAAAACAGCTTTGTTTACTATATATCAACTGTCGAGAAGCATTTCATGACCAGACCCTGTAAAAATTATTGTATAACCCAATGGACCTGCTTCGCCATAAGGTTCAGTTGAAGTGCTTTGAACTCAAAAAAAGCAAGACAAATAAATTCAAAAACATACGCGTTCCTAAAACAGAAATGGGAACTGAGGACTCCAACCAAATATATGTTGGCGAAAATAAACAAAAAAGACACAAAATGCTAAAAATTTTGTAGGTAGACCCATAACATCGGCCTCTGGTGGACCTTGTGAAAAACTAAGTGAATTTGCGGATTACTTTCTGCTTCCAATCGTAAAAAAAACAAAAGATATATTTTAGAGACAGTCATGAACTGCTGAATCTATTGAAAACGCAAAAATTAGGCCCAAACGACTTTCTAGTGTCAATATGGGCATTGTGCCCATGCATGTATACTAACGTCCCACTGATCGTGAGAGAAGAAATCGACGTAAATCTGAAGGCTTTTACGTAAATCTGATGGCCAGCAGTTTCCCATATGAAATTAATAAGATCAATACATAGACTTCGGAAAAATCCTAGAGCTGTTTCATGGAATAAAATGGAGCCCCTTTAAAGGTGGAAATTGGCTTAGCTCAGGGGTCTAAGTGTTCACCCGAGATTGCTGATGTACTCGTATACCTACCTACATTCATTGGAGAGATCCTTTTTATACCAAATTCTCAAAATTATTATGTATCAGAGATACAGAGATAACATTTTCATCCTGAGCGAAGCATGAAAAGATGATCTCAAAAGTTTCTTAGAGAAAATCAACACTATACACGAGACATTAAAATTTACGATGGAAATCAGCAATCAAAAGCTAAACTTTCTCGACATCACAATGCATAAACAGGAAAACATCTATAAGAACAGTATTGGTGTAGTTTGGCAGAAGATTTTCTTTAATGCAGGTTTCATTGAAGACCAGAGAGTATTTCTTATTGACAATTTTCTTATTGTTTTTCTCTATTCGGCGAATTAGGCTCTTGATAGGAACTGAAAAGTCAAATATCAGGTTTCCAAGGGACATTTTATTATAATTTTACGACGTTTCGAATGCAACTTCATTCATTATCAAGTACAGAGGACGAGTTAAACGGAACTGCAGCGATGTTCTGGACTTTATGGAAACTACCCTAACCTTCTATAAACACCTGGGACAAAGCGGCAACAGCAAAGGGCTTTCATTGGAGCAATTAAATGAAGCTCTAAGTGGAAAAATCAAATCAGAAAAGTTACAACAATGCAACCTGATGTTTAAAACCAAATATAACCCACAAACATCAACAAACTACCTGAGGCGAGCCCCGTTTAAGCATTGGCACCAAATGGAAAGAGAAGAGGATCTTCGATCACTCTTTCAGCTACCGCATACCATACCGCAGTTAAAACAAACGTTTTAAGAACCTGCGCGAGTTCTTGCTAAAGTCAAACTCAGAGAAACAATCAGAAAATACAAAGATCTGATTATATTAATTAACCTCCTATACGCATCAACAACAATTAATGAATGCAAAAAATGTTTAAAAAATCGCATGGGCTTCATCGGTAATGGAATGACGCCATCGTTCTTAATGATCTGAATACAGTAAAAAATATCGATAACAAGAAAAGAAGCTGTTGTGTTACTCGAGATACGAAACAAAACCACCATGCAAAAACAAACAATATTTGTGATTTGTGGTACCTGCAATTGGAATACATCTGAGTAACAAACAACAAAAAGAAAATAAAAACCACATATCCGTACGCACAATAACAAACCAGCTCTTTTTGTGTGGGATGTTCTAAAAACAACAATGGGCGAAAAACAACCGGTCTCTTGGACGTCTCATCCTTTACAAACTAAGGAAAATGATACTTGTTATTAGCTTATTACTTTGATAGCTATGATTTGACTTGTCCTAACGAGATTATTAAGTACATGAAAAAATGCAGCATTATTTGGTCCGCTTATAAAATACAAAAAATGAGTGATGTAATTTGCGGACAATTATGTGCAGAAATGTTAAAACGACTGGAGTATGAGAGATTTGATCTATCATATGAGATCTTTGCAAGAATGACCTTTAAAAATGTTTTTATTATTACAAATCAATGCAAATTTCTATGCAAATAATTTGAATCTTTCATCAACTTGAAAAGGCGGCGAGGTATTTCCTTAAATTCTCTGAAAACTTCAATTGAAACCGTTTGAAATGAACATTCAACCTTCAATTCAATTGTCACAACATTTATCACAACCCATACAAGTTGTGTAATTTTACGTATAAAGTACCTCATAGCTTTGTGATGAATAATAAAGGTGAGCACCCAGGTTCTGGAAAGTGTTGCAAAAATTTATTTCAATTATATATTCCAAAGAAGTATCTGCCCTATAGCGACATTCGCTCAAGTCCCGGGGTTTTAGTAACCAAACTTTATTGACGGCATTGGTTAAAAAAAGTTCCAAACAATACCACTGCAAATTTCGGCCTGTATTGCTGTATAAGTATAACTAACGAATGAAGATGAAATAAAATAAAAACACACGAACGTATGCAAAATACAAAGTATCGACACAAGCTAAAAATCACCGTTTGGTGGTTAGGAATATATATATTCAAGGTTTCATTGAAATATGTTCAAGTTTAGAATAAATTTCTTGTTCACTACGAATTTCGGCCCATGTCGCCGTACAACTCACAAATGAAGGTGAAGATGGAAAAAAATTCATGAGCTAAACAAAGCCATTCGGTCATAATAAATGCGTTTACCAAGTTTCATTACGATGCGTTCATTAGTTTGGGAGATATTCCTTGGTCATTGAATTTGGAGACCAAACGTAGACCAGCCGCGAGTCCGACCGCAAAAATTTCTGAAACTACCATGTTAGTATCTAATAATAATAAATAATGTTAATTAGATCTGCTGGTATAAATTTTCTCCTTTAATGCCGACGTTGTGGAAAAATCAAACATTCTACATACATATGGAACATTCCTCTACATAAAAATGGTTTCTCTACACTTCTTTACTTCTTCTGATCTTTGTACGAAGAACTGGCTGACTGAGAGGCTATATCTGTGTAAGATTGGAGTTTTTCTGCTCAATCGAATCAAAATCGAAAGTTGGGGTATCAAATTACATTAGGGATTTAGAACTTGATGTATCTATAATGATGCCTCAGCTCAATTTTTGACTCGAAAGAGTAAACACTTGAGTCATAAAAAATATTTGAGTTTAGAGTATTATTTCCTTCAGTAGGTGAGTCTAAATAGAAAATATAAATTTCAAATATTCGAATGCGACAAGCGGCCGCATAGATAATGTAAAGCATTTGGAGCTACTGAAAGAATAACCATATATACGAATGCAGGAATAGAATGCAGAATGATGGAAACGGAACATATTTTTAACTTTCTGAATAAAATTTGGGATTGAAAACATTAAAACATTACGTTCGTTGAACAAAAAGGTTATGATAAGCTCTATAGGACGGAAGATACTCATTGTTGATCATGCACCTGCTCCAATAATTTACCATCGGCTGTGGCATATTTTCATGTGAAGTTGTTCTGTTACGATCACGAGACCGCTCACAGCTGACCGAGCTGTCAGTGCATCGTTTGTCCTTTGGGTACTGCATAGAGAAGAGCAGAAGTAAACTCAAACTGTGATTAGAAATGGTGAGTTATTAATTTAATAGTTTTATTGAATAATAATATTTTATACGTAAAGATCTATTCGCTTGATCTGTTAATTCAGCTTTTATTTTTATATTCATCCTGTTTTTCCCAAATCTTAATTGGAGCCTTGGAGGAATTTAACTTAGGTACTATTTAAGTGCAGCAATTACCTATTTAGGCTATTATGTTACAAGTTTCAACGACTCTTTTTAATCAGTATCTAAGATATAATTTGTTTATTTCACATGAGAGTTAATCCTAAATTCCTAATTGATGTGTGTTAATGCACTGTCCTGTGTCCTCAAAGCTTCCCATGGTCTCATAGATGTTTTAAATTCATTGTTAGTTACCTTATTATATCTGTAAGTAGCCTAAGCAGTAAGCACTGTTATAGCTAATTAGGTACTTACAAAATTAGTTTGGTTAGGTTAAAGATGGATATCATCTGGTTATCAATGTGGAATATCAGGCCAAAGTCCAAACTCTCCTAAAATTGTTAGCAAAATGATTATTTCACAGACAATATTTGGAAATGGCAGATGAAAAGAGGATATCCTTATTTATTACTGAACAGGTGTCAATTGTCATTAGGGTAAACGCGGTATATTCCGACATCGTAGGTAATTCCGTCACTTCTCTAGTTTTTCCTTTATATTAAGCTTTGTTTTAGTTCCATGCGTTCATTGATGGTTGAAATGGTGACGTCATACATTTGCGTGTCAAAATACTGCAAAAACACTAGGTCTTAGCCACTATGGGTGCTAATGGCCAAATTTAAGAGCAGTTATGTCTAATTCACAGGTAGCTTTTGCCTAATTTTTTGCCACTACTTTTCTTGAGCAGGGGGAGGAGGGTAGGGGTGCATTTGAAGGCCAAGAAAGAGTGCTAATTGTTAATGATCAAGTGGTCATTTGTTAGAGAAATGCCAGTTATTTGGGTGTTGTAGTGCTGTAACTACAAGTGTAATGCACTCCTCCAAGCCATGCTGCTCCTTTTACCTTTTGGAGCAACCGCAATGCTATTTTGCCAACACGCTACTTAGCCTAATCACATAGGTACATTATCATGGTCATTTAGAGGGTATTTACAATGCCACCAGTGCCCAATATTCTGAAATGGGGTAATAATACAGTTCTGGAGCAACAAAATTTTGATAATAAATTGTAAAATTCCTATCTTGCAGCATTCACATTCTGAAGAGGATAGCATCACATTCGGACAACCAATTATAGTCTGGAGAGGCCAGGTCGCAAATTGTAGCACAACATAGGTCAAAGACACTGACTTCATTGCATACAAGATGCCATAGTACAGTCAAGGTGGATGCCACTGGATCGCCATTGCCAGTTATACTACTTACTAAATTGCAATTTATGATCAGTATGGCCAATGCACCATATGAATTTGCACGACACAATTGGAACTTCATTGTAGTGCACTGTTCTGATAGTTGTCACCTCACTGGCCTGTAAGCATTTATATTTGAGCACCCAAGCATACACATTCACAGCTGCCTCAAAGCTTTGCTGTTGTGCATAGTTGCAATGGCTCAAAGTGCACACATTTTAGTGCTTACGTTGAGAAAGCCTCATGGCACTGATGAAGGATAGCTAAGCACCTTGTTAGGAATAATTTCCTGGAAAACGTGAGACACAAACAGACTACATCATTAGTCTAACCACCCCAAATCTGTGCCCTAGCACATACACAACCCAACCCAATTAACCATCCCAATGCAACTGAACCCAACCCAATGCAAGCTAAATCAATTCAACCTGACCCAACCAAATGCAGCATAAAGCAATTCAACCCAAACCTACCGAATGTAGCACAAAGCAATTCAACTCAACCCATTGCAACCAAATTCCCAACCCAAGACAATTCAACCCAACCTGTCATCCCTACCTGAATAAATTCAACCTACCAATTCAACCCAACCCAATTTAAACATGACTCAATTTCAACACAACCCAATTTCGACACAACCCAATTTTAACACTACCAAATTTTAAAACAACTCCAATTTCAACACTACCATTATCCAATTTCAACACTACCCAATTTCATCACTGGTACCCAATTTCAATACTATCCAATTTCAACACTACCCAATTTTAACACTACCCAATTTTAACACTACCCAATTTTAACACTACCCAATTTTAACACTACCCAATTTTAACACTAACCAATTTTAACACTACCGTACCCAATTTCAACACTAACCAATTTTAACACTACCCAATTTCAACACCACCTAATTTCAACACCACCCAATTTCAACAGTACCGTAAAATGGGGTAACTTAGACCACTTTTTTTTCTTATAAATGATGCAATTTTCTTACTAGCTAAATTAAACTTGAATTGAAACATGCAAAATACAGGTCTATACTCTAACTTTACTAAATCCCATTCAATTTTATCTAATCACTCTCAATTCAATCCAATTTGACCACACACAAATTAATTCAACCCTACCAGATTCAACCCAATTCCACTCAACCCAATTAAATTCTGCCTAATTTGCCTCAATCCAACCCAATTCATCCCAAAAAAATTAATCCTAGTTTCTAACCCAATCCAACTTCACCCAATCCAACTCTGCCCAATCCAACTCCACCCAATCCAACAATAGATTGCATTAGAATGCAATATATTGTATTAGAGTGCAATATATTGTATTAGAGCGCAATACCAGGAGATTGCATTAAAATGCAACAAATGGAAGTAGAAGTTATAGTTCCTACCTTTTAGTTTAGCATATCCTGCTGTCTTTTAGTTTAGCATTCCAACATGTTAATGACTTGATTATAAGTACCACTGTTTTCAATTTGTTAATGGGGTGTTACAGTTGTCCATGTCTCAAGCTGTTTGATGGCTTCTCACAAATGTGAAGTCAGATAGACAAATAAAAACCTGGAAGAGTGTAAATGATTCAACAGTTTCAGCTGATCTGGAATCAGAAACTGAATTCATTATCTAATTCTTTCAAGACCAGCTTCAGATATTCATGTATGACATGTATGATTCAGACATGTTCATGTATGTGCCATTTATGTTACTTAACCCAAATTCTTGTGGGACTTGCTTTCCTTGATTTAGAAGTTACTAGCACACAAAAGTGTCCCAAATGGTAAATTCTGTTTCAAAACTTGGTGAAAGACTGTTTCAACAAACACAAAGTTTTTGCAACCATGAAAATTGAAACTTAATTTCTGCAGTGGGATCCTGACAAATGGAGCAACATTAAACATTACTGCATCAGTTGTCAAGAAGTGCAGCAGTTGGAAATTGTTAATGGTGCTGAAAAAATTGTATTTATTTGATAAAAAATATCAACTCTATGATCACTAACCAAGAGAAACAGATGCAGTAGGTATCTGCTGCTGGTCATTGAACTTCATTACAAGCATTTTCCTCTTTCTAAGAAATCTGTTATTCTTGTAAAACGTTCAAGTGACTTAAATAATTGTGCTCTATTACCATGTGGTAGGTTGGTGACAAAAGTGCACTATAGCATTTCAGTGGAGTATTACATTGCCTACTGTAATGTTTAGGTAACTTCTCCTCTTTGGCATTTTGAAGGAACTGTTAACATAATTTGTTTTAGCCTGACTTATTAAAACTTAACCTCCATTGTGCAGCTAGTAAACAATGTTTGATTGTAAACATTTTTGAGATGAGCACCCAGCCTTGCAGTGGGACAATTCTGGACCATGGGACCAAAATAAATCTAAATATATTGGTTGACACCCTGCTTTATAGTCGAAAAATCACCTACGAAATGATTATTTTATCTGCAATTTTCAAAAAATTCTGTCTGATACTTCTGATTGGTATCAGGTTTATCATATTGTGCGTATATTTTATGGTATAGGTCTGGTTACTCTTTACTTTTATTATTACTATATTTTATATCCAATGGTAATGATCTAAAATTTTCAGGCTGGGGGTATGGACCGTGCCCATGCACTCCCCAAGATTGGGGACCAAACCAGAGAACGTAGCTTTGGCTATGTGTTTGGTGTTTCTGGCCCTGGTAAGAATGTTTTGTATTGGTGATATGAAATTTTGTTCTGACATATTTAAAAGTATATAGGTAGGCTACCACTACTGATGTATACATAGGCTGGCACTACTGATTAGCCTCTTCTGAAAACTAAATTAGCCTTTTCTCAAAACTCAGTAAATACACATTATTATATTTATAATACCGGTAGCTGTGACAATTTTTTTTTATTAATAACTTGGACAAAATAACAAGAAGTAGAAGCAAGTGCTGCAAAAAATCACTAGTAACTTGTCTCATTGACAGTAACTCCTTTTTAAAGTTTATTCTAATTCAATCATTAATGAAAAAATCTCATCTCAGTTCTTCAAAATTTTTGTCCAGATTAAGGACAAGGGTAATCCAAACAAAGATTCTTAGTGTCATTGACTCACAAATGTTAGAACTGTTAAATTTTGGATAATAAAACTTACAGACATGATTCAGACCTGCTATATATATTCACATCTTTTATTTATTACTCAGCTGCCATTTTTGCTCAATTTGGGTGATTCAGGCTGGCTCAATATTGATTTTATGAACCACCATGACACAATTCATGCAATTTCACTTTGCCTTAGTCTAAGATTTCACCTGTAAAAAGCCCCTGCTCAAATATATATCCAGTTGAATCTGTTACTAATATCTTGGCAAAAATAATTTTTTGATGAAGTAAACAAATGCTTGATAATGCATTTCTGTTTAAATAGGTATTCTGTAGACTGGTTTTCATTTTGCTATGTTGTTAATAGCAGTAAATGTAGCTTCAATATAAAGTTGACTCTGACAATTTAACAAGTTTTTTTGCTGTTCATGCAATTACTCCCTTAATAAATTATTTTTGTTAGTTGTATGAAGATAAAATAATTTTTAATCTGTCTTTGATATAAAATCATTGTATGCATAGTATTTATCACACTCTTGTTGAAGAACAGCATGACATGAAAGTCCTATATTGCAGTGGTGACGGCTGAAAAGATGAGTGGCTCAGCCATGTACGAGCTTGTGCGTGTAGGCCACGCTGAGCTTGTTGGAGAGATTATTCGCTTGGAGGGAGAGTTTGCTACAATTCAGGTATTGGGGGTTGTCTCTTATTGTGAGTAGTGCAGGCTCTTAAATAACGTATCTCAATATGATTTACAATGTATAAACACCCATTATTTAGTGTTATAAACATTAATAAGTCCCTAACTTGCTCTTGCAAGTCAAGACCTGTCACAATCTGGAAGCAACTGCCAGATATCTCCATATCTGGCAGTTGCCATATCTGATGCCAGATATCTCCATATCTGGCAGTTGCCATATCTGATGGTTTCCATAGGTATCTGGCGCCAGATATTGCAAAATCCATATTATGGATTAGATTTATGTTTTGCCATATTGAGAAATATAATTTACAGACGTATGAAATATTTCATGTTAGATCCAACTTGAAAGTTCATCATTTTAAAATTTCCTGTGAATTAAATTTGTATTTTGTAGTATCTAAGGGTAAAAAAATACACTATTTTGGCTTGATGAGCACAAGCTTATTGACATTTACATTGATAATGCTTTTTTGGACAGACCTTCGATATTCACTGTTATTTTCCTTTTTTCTTTTGACTAACTTGAAAGTCTTTAAAATAAGTTTCAAAGACTGAGTCACAAGAAAAGTCTCGGTCAATTGACTGAAATAATGGGTGTTATGTCCTTAGACTTGTATCAGCGTAACAATATTTTGGTTCCTAAAATAAACTAAGATCTTATCATACTTTATGCGAAAACAGTACGTACCTATTGTAATTTAAAACTAAGATTAATTATCTGTCATGTACAAAATTGTGAACCTATAAATGCTCTTCAAGAATATTTGTATTTTATTTTTTATAACCAAATGGGTCGTTTCTTTAGAAAATGCATTATTTTAATATGCACATTTTGTTTGCTGCTCAAAAATAATATGCAATGTAAGCTTGGAAATTTTTGTGCATATGCAGCAGCAAAGGCTAATATTTTGGTAAAAATTGCTGAGCTTTAAATACATTTCTTTGCAAAGTTTGGAGATAAAAAGCAAAATTGCACAAATTTTTCTTTGAAGACCTGCACTATTTAATTTGATCAAAACAATTCTCTCCTGGATTTTTCTTTTAAACCAGGTATCTTATTAATTATTTTATTTATTGTGATTTGCTGAGAAAATTGAAAGCCAATTTTTTTTTATTTTAATTATTTAAACTTGATAAGCGAGCAACTTTCACAATTTCTAATACTTTATAATTAAATTTTATTGAGTCATATTGAAACTTGGTCTGAACTGTATGTCATCACCTCAAATTCAATAATATATAAGTTTAGAGATGTCTGAAGCTGATACATCTTGTCGAGTATAATGCAGTGTGTCTTCTAGATGCAACTATTTTGCATGAATTCGAGCAGTCAATTATTTTAAAGTAGTTTGTTTTAATCTAAGATGTACTACCTTTCATAAAGTTGAGTTGTGTTGAACAGTAGCCTCATGTATCACTGTCAACGTTTCTTGTTGCTAAAGGTGTACGAAGAAACATCTGGTGTCACCGTCGGAGATCCTGTATTGAAAACTGGCAAGCCTCTTTCCGTGGAGTTGGGACCTGGCATCATGGGTAATATTTATGACGGTATCCAGCGTCCCCTGCAGGAGATCGGAGAGTTGACCCAGAGTATCTACATTCCCAAGGGTATCTCGACACCTGCTCTTAACAGGAGCAAGACCTGGGAGTTCATCCCATCATCTACCGTCAAGGTAATTTCTTTATATTAGGCCAGGGGTATGTTTACACTCTCTATTCCATTAATTATTTTCAGTCAATTTAATAGAAATATAACTCAGTACTCACTGCAGTGAGTGACAGAGAGCGCATTTTCTCATCGACGAAAACTTGAGGTAACGAACGGACGGACAGACAGACAGACGGACATGACGAGCACAATAGTGCATTTTTTCCATAAATGAGAAAATGCGCTAAAAATGTGTACTGCTATCCTCCACCCGCTTTGTCCCAGCTACTACCCATCGAAGTATTATATGTTGGAAAAAGCAATTTCTAGGGCACATTAACGGTTACTATATACTAGTACTTGTAGTTTAGCCATTCTTTACCTGATCCTTTCCTCCCTTAAGTATTGAAATTGATTCCTTTAGGTTACGGTTTAGGTGAATATTATTAAAGATTAGTTTAATATTTCCTCTGCTGCAGATCTCAGCATTCCATTACTTTGGTTACATCCCCAGACGCCACTGTATTACTGATAACGCTTTGTGTTCAGGTGGGAAGTCATATCACCGGCGGCGACGTATTTGGTGTGGTGTATGAGAACACGCTCATCAAACACAAGATCCTCCTACCGCCTAAAGCCAGAGGTGAAGAATTATTGTATTTGTAATAAGTGACAAGGGCTCCAAATGAAGAGAGTAGGAGTAGTGCATTACACTAGGCATTTGTTTTTGGCATTTCACTCCGGAACATTTTCCAATTTATGAATGGATAATAAGATTTTTCTCGTAAGTAAGGACTTCAACAGCGCTTGTATCGGTGTGTGTACTTTTAATAAATTACCTCTCAGGGGGGTAATTCTGACGCGTGTCTGTGTTTGTCAGAAGTCCTTTGGGATTTTGCGCGCACCCACCGCTGACCTCGCAGTGTCTGACTGCGGGTGTCAGTTGTGGGCTAAGTTTGTCATGTATGTAGGATTCCTTGCATTTCTCTTCTCTGTCTCTCTCGTGCGGGCGGCCGACGTCCCGTGTAAGCAGCAACCTCGAGTACGAGATGTTTACACTTCTGTTGCTTTTCACCTGTCCCTCCTTGTCACTTCGTCTCTTTGAGATGCTAACGCTGCTTCTTTCGAGCCAGCTTCAGCGGGCTAGACATCTGAGACCTTCCGCCCCCTTGTGGGTGATGATTAATTTGAGATTTTAATAACTGTGACCTTCCCCCTCGCTGGCGATGTTATCTTTTGACCTCCGGTGCGAGATAGCTTGAAGGCTGAATCGTTAGCCAGTTATTCTACTTCTACTACTACTACTTAACAAATTAGTTGGCGGTATTCCATAAATGCCCGCTTGAAATCTCTGTCCAAAAAGAAACGCCACATCAAAGTTTGTGCCTCTGCCAAAATTTTTGTGCATCTGCTGGTCACTTATCATCTGCCGACCGTTCCATAAATAACACTTCCCACCTTCCTTATGAACTAAAATATGAATTTTTAAAAACAAGTTTCGACTCGAACACCAAAATAAGCGCACTTACTGCATTTTCTTAGAACACAGGATTACCAAAATTTACAATTAATCTCATCAACTTGCTAACATTGAATCATTGTTCATCGTCATAAGTAAATAGGAAATTTTTGCTCAATACCGAGCAAAGGAAGTATGGTGGACGCATTTAATGAAATTCATCAACAGCTATTTTCTCCTTCAATATTCCCAAATTGCGAAAAATGTTCTGTCAAAAATATATCTTAAAATTTGCCATATTTTTTCGTATCACATTTTAATTTTTTCTGTATATTTTTATTTTCGAATGCTGTAAATGGTTAACTAATCCAAGTTATTCATTGCTTCATTTATTTGTTTTCATTTAACATTGAGCAAGGTTTTTCTTGATCAACAGGCACTGTTACATTCCTGGCTGCCCCCGGCAACTACACGGTGGAAGAGACCGTCCTGGAGGTCGAGTTCGATGGAGAGAAGAAGAAGTACAACATGATGCAGGTGCGCCAGCAGGGAACCTACTGCAGTCAATGTTATTTTTTGCATTTTTTTATTCAGGATCAACGAATATATAATGAAAGTTGAACAATTTTCTTGCTACGTAACTTATTGAATACTGAATTGCATGCATTGCAATGTTTAAGATATTCTTAGCTATAGCATGATAATTATTACTGAAAGTTTGTCTTAGAATATTACGTTGATATATTTAAATAACTCGTGTCCTTAGGTGTGTTATGTTCGTCAGTCTCAAATGTAATATTTGAAGATTTATTCCATGAACTTTACGTGTTGGTGAAATGGGTTCTATGAAATTGTGTTCAAGATTTTATGACTTAGAATTATTTTATTGTTAAATTTTGTATGTATCATCAGTATGGGGCCCGCGAGTGTTAGTATGCAATATACCATTTTATATAGGTATGTAGTAATAATTATGTACATGAAGTTATATAATATTTTACATGCAATACAAATATAGTACATGTCAGTCGCATTTCAAGCTATTGTGTAGCTTGCATGACCCATAACTGAATGAAAACGCTGCATGTGCACAGGTGTGGCCAGTGCGGCAGTCGCGCCCAGTGAGCGAGAAGATGCACGCCAACCATCCTCTGCTGACGGGACAGCGCGTGCTCGACTCTTTGTTCCCGTGCGTGCTCGGTGGCACCACAGCCATCCCCGGGGCTTTCGGCTGCGGCAAGACCTGCATTTCTCAGGCCCTTTCCAAGTACTCCAACTCCGACGTCATCATCTACGTCGGCTGTGGCGAACGAGGCAACGAGATGGCTGAGGTATCACTTTGATTTTCTAATATTACTTGATAATTTGTCTTTAGATCCGCACCATCTGAGCTCAATGTTATCACTTGTGATATTAATTTATGGGAATTTTTCCTATATGCATCGTAAAGGAAACTGCCATTGCGTCAACATTTGTGTCCCTTTTTTTTATAAGAAATGCTATAGATTCTCTTGTGAGGCTACGTCACAATGACCGCCTTCTGAGAGAATTCTGAAATATTTGATTCTTTTTTATTTTTTTCTCTGATTTTTTCTTTTTCTTTGATTTTGAAAAGAATTTCTGATATATTTGATAAATATCTTTCAATAGAACATTACATTATCTGTTGAGGGTTTAGAGGAAGTAGAATGTGTGCCTAGCCGCTATGTTGCAGCAGCGTTCCAATATTGGATATATTAATTTTTCTTCATTTATGCCCGCAAACTGATGATTAAATTCATAGTCCTGAGAATAATTTAGTCTGATTTGACCAGGTGTTGCGTGATTTCCCCGAGCTTGAAATGGAAGTTGAGGGAAAGAAAGTGAGCATCATGAAGCGTACATCCCTCGTGGCCAACACCTCCAACATGCCCGTGGCTGCTCGTGAAGCTTCCATCTATACCGGCATCACCCTCTCAGAATACTACAGGTTTGCTCTCAGAGTTATTCACCACTTGAATTATCGATTTAATTGTTTATTTAAAATATATTTCGAAGTACTGTTTGCAATGTTTTTGAGCAAACGATACATTAACGATTGTAAGCTATTACTGCGTATAACAGTTACTGTACTAAAAATCTTCACGATTGCTAATACCATGTTATGTAAAAACTGATGTTATTTCTCTGTCACAGGGACATGGGTAACCACGTGTCCATGATGGCTGACTCCACATCGCGTTGGGCTGAGGCTCTTCGAGAAATTTCAGGTTGGATGTCTTCTAGAATATAAGAGCAAGGAAAACGCCCAGCCCACACAACATCAATATAAGTACAATCAGAACAGAATAACGATTTTCTGTTTTTCATTGTACTTAAAATTTATGTATTTTGACTAATGATGCAGCTGGTCTGCGGAACGATTTCATTGAAGATATTGAATATATGTTACACTTGCTTGGGGTTTTCTTTGTTTTTAAATTCTTGGCGAACTTGCGATTTAAGGACACTAATGATATGTGTATTTATGTAGGATTTCTTCTCTATTTGAGATTTCTGCTTGTGTCACATAAAATGGATATGTTACAGAATAGCAATACAAATTTTTACTCTCTGGTAGAACGAAAGTCAAGTTCCAACGGCTCTTTCCCATATCCTTTGAAAATTTTAATGCTTAATAGTGGTTAAGTAAGCTTTAATATTTTTGTTGAGCTGTTCAGTTCAGTATTCTCCGCCATTCCTTTCTCTGCAATTTATTTGCTTCTACTACTATTGATGATCGTTTTCCAACCATATTTATAAATTTTTTAACTGCATGTTTTAGTGTGCTTCCCTCCTAAAAGCTGGTGATCATTGCAGGTCGTCTGGCTGAGATGCCTGCCGACTCTGGCTACCCTGCATACCTGGGCGCTCGCCTCGCCAGTTTCTACGAGCGCGCTGGCCGTGTGAGGTGCCTGGGCAACCCCGAGCGTGAGGGCTCCGTCACCCTCGTTGGTGCCGTGTCTCCTCCTGGTGGTGACTTCTCCGATCCTGTCACTTCGGCTACTCTCAGCATCGTCCAGGTGCGCCAGTCTAACGGCTAATTTATAACATTCAACATTTATAATTTTAATGCAGAATTGTCTCTGAATTTTAATCATACCTGATGTTATAATACTCAAAGTTCATGCATCGTCTTCTCTGAGAGCGATTAGTAGCGCAATTCGTTGTTGCACATGTAGATCATTTATACTGTCATGATTGTTACATCACCTTCGTCAAACATTTTCATAGCTTCCTCTCAGATTGACCATAAGTTAAATTTTCTAGGTCTTCTGGGGGTTGGACAAGAAACTTGCCCAGCGCAAGCATTTCCCTTCCGTCAATTGGCTTCAGTCGTACTCCAACTACACTCGTGCTCTGGATGAATATTATGACGGAACTTTCCCCGAGTTCGTCTCGTACAGGTCGGTTCAGACGCATCTTGGAATTTTTTTTTTTTTACTTTTCATTTTGATTGAAAACCCCCTACGTGCAGTCTCATGTCAGTCGATAGAGCATTCGTCTGAAGGCATATGGTACTCCTACCCTCGAACGTATTTACGATACTGATAAACTACATAGCTCTGATTGTGGCCGATTCCTTTTCCGACCATACCATTTGAAAACTACTAAAATTCTTTGATAGTGAGTAGTGACATTTTAAAATTTTCGTTGCTCTATATGTTGTTCAGAAATGCTAATTGCTGGTACTGCTACTTTCATGGATTCAGGGATTTGCAGGATATTTTGGATCTTTACGATTTGTGTAGTTTAATTTCGTGCGCGGAAAATATTGCTCGGAGGTTCTTCATTTTGTTTTGTATCCATAACTTGGATTAAAAATTACCATGCGAACATTTTATGCTTTTAAAGCCAATTTTTATATTCTTCGTGAATTTTGGTTATTCAAACTTCTCGTCTTGAACAGGACCAAGTTCCGGCAGATCTTGCAGGAAGAAGATGATCTCGCTGAGATTGTTCAGCTTGTCGGAAAAGCCTCACTCTCTGATACCGACAAGATTACGCTCGAGATTGCCAGGATCATAAAGGACGATTTCTTGCAGCAGAACTCCTACACTTCCTACGACAGGTAGGATAAATTGCAAGATTTTCATGCTTATCAGCAAAGATTTACGTGACGTTAGATATGCCTGCTCAAAACATCCATTGCTCCTGCTATTGTTCAGGAATTCAAGGAATTTTTTAATGAGAAGGTTGCGTCTGAAACAAAGCAGTTTCATTTTGCATTGTTCCTCTCATCGTTATTAGCCATGTGAATACAGCTGGAATGAAACATTGTTCTTTCTTACTTAGCTTACGTTCGTTCGTTCTTTTAAGCGCATTTTCTCATTTATGGAAAGAAGGCGCTATTGTGCTCGCCATGTCCGTCCGTCCGTCCGTGACTTCATGTTTTCGTCGACGAGAAAATGCACTCTCTGTTACTCACTGTAGTGAGTACTGAATTCCGTTTTTTTTCTCACTCGCAGATTTTGTCCATTCTACAAGACTGTTGGCATGATGCGCAACATCGTCGCCTTCTACGACATGAGCAAGCAGGTGGTCAACAAGACAGCCCAGTCGGACAGCAGGGTGAGTCGTCTCTCCTTCTACCTTGTTGAGGAACATTCATGCATCTATCCGCTTGAAAAGTTTATCATGAATTCTTGGAAGGCCTTCCGGTTAGAACGCTTTTGTTGATCAATCAATTACTCCAGTGTAATAGTACATTTTAGGTTTTTCGATTTCCCCTCAAATTGCCTGTTCACCATCACTCGCAATTTTGTTCGTCGTACAATATGGTCAGTCACACTCACTGCGAACACATTATTGACACCTATAAATATTAAAAAGAATAGGGGTATATTTATGGGAGATCAAAATATTTCGAGCATCATATCTACCAAAAACTTATCAAATATATCTTCTTTCAGGTAACCTGGCAAATAATACGCGATACCATGAGTAACCTCATGTACGAGTTGTCATCAATGAAATTCAAGGACACTTTTGAGGACGGCGAAGCCAAAGTGAAGAAGGAATTCGATGAATTGTACGAAAGGATTCAGCAAGCATTCCGCAACATCGAAGATTAGAGCTCGTCCATACAGCATGTTCTTTCATTCGTAATTAAGGGTTCCATTTTTGTCGCTGGATCCACTTTGTGAACAGACGTGCACGTGAATGGCCTGATAAAGTGGTTTTATGCATCCTGCAAATTTGTCTGGTTACTTATGGCTTCGTGTTTTATCTATTATCGAAAGATTTTTTATGTGTGAATGAAATTGTCAGTGTTGTTCTTCTGAAGTCATAGTAGGTACAACTTCAATACATTTATGCAGTAGCTTGTTGTGTGGTGCTGTGCTTCCTAGTTGATATCTCCCTGAACTCCACGTTGTGTTTCGTTCGGTTCTTAGATGGGACTTGTTCTCGTTTCGCTGGGATATTTTGTACATAGGTAATTTATTTATTGCTACTAGTTTTCAAAGAATTATTATACAGCAAGAGCTTGATATTTCAGATTGATAATTTAATGTTAGAAATAGACCTCAGTTCGGAGTAACATTCCTAACTGCTTATTATCGAAGTTCGTTTTTACCTACTCGAGACTTGGTGTCGTGTGTAAACTTTGCCATGGCTGGAGTGTAGTAACGTAGCAGTTGGGGGCAGTGACGTTGCAGCAGAACATTCCATTAAGGGCGCACTAGGTCTCTGTACATTAGAATGAAATGTGTATACTGTTAACAATTAAGTTACATTATCCTTCAATTATCTTCGCATACTGAGAAAACTTCGAGTTGTTATTAGCATCAGTCACAACTTGGTTGTTACATTGAATTCCTCGCTTGGACCTCGCGCGTGAGTTGAAAGAAATTCGTTTTATTCGAAACGTTATATTTTATTCCGAGACGATACGCGAATACATGAATCAAGAGAAAATTCTCGTTTTACAATATGTGCATGGTTCGCTTAGAGACAAATCGTACATGTAGTGTTAATAGAATTAATACTTCTATATAGTATGTATAACTGCTATTTTGTGCGAAAGTGTTAAAAAAGATGCAGATAGCGACTAGGCATAGGAAAGGCGAGAATGATTATTGCACACATAATTGAAAACAGCCCGTTTACGTTAGGACGTTGTGAGTGGTCGGGCTTGAACAATAGAAATTAGTACTTGTGAATCGAATAAACTAAACTTATCCCTGCTCCACACATGCCAGTTTGTGGGCCCGTGCCACGATTGATAGCTGCCGCCCGCAGTGGTTCGGCCTACAGCTGTCTGCTGGTCGGAATGCACGTATTGTACCAACGACTTATTTGCCCGCATTCCTATAAAGTTAGTGGGTTCTACTTCACTCGACTATATTAAACTGTGAAGCTTTAGTAAGAGTGCGAGGCATGCCGTAATCAATTTCAGATTTAGATCACGTTTTTGGTGCAAGGCAATTAGTACTTGAATAATGAGATATTATTCACGAGGAACAGCTCATTTATGTAGAGCCAAACTCTTTCATCCATGCCAAGTATTTCTCGAGGTCCTGCTTCGAGACACTCTTGTTGCACTTTTTGATGGCTTCCCTGAAGTCGTTAGCTGTAACCGGCAAGTCGAGCTCCTCCTTGGGCAGCACCTTGATTTGTTCGGGCCGGAGACCTGCTATCTTGCGGCGCATCGACATCATGGAAGCGTCTCTGTGAGATTCAAATCGCAAAATTAATAATGAATCAACAATTATAGAACTTTTATCTCAGATATGTGGCTGTTAACTCTAAATTGAAATGAATAAGCGGTTCGCTGGTGAGATAAACGTTGCCTTCCAGTTATTTGCGACCAACTACATATAAAATAATTAAGGATTACAATTACATAAAGGATATTGACTAAGTGACCTTAGTACGGTAATGCAAGTAAAAGTCATGGCTATAAGCTTAACATGGAGCGCCCCGTAAGGAGTCTTGTAGACGAGGCAAGAGTTTATTCAGCCGCACACGCCACATGTACTCAACTCACATGAAGCAAAAACGCCGAATAGTGTCGCACGGTTTCGTAAGTTAATACAACAAATCAACGAGATATTGCGGTAAGTACACTGGTCACGTGGTGAACTGAAACACCAGTGGTCGAGCGAGCTCCACAGAAACTGAACTGTATATCTGAATTAGTATATGTTCCGGTTTTTGGTACGAGGGGCTAATCCGTGCAACGTATAGTTTAGATATGACACAGTTTGCTGCTACATTGATTTATGATTCCAGGCGAGTTTAAGCTTCAATGTGCTCCATTATATTTATTAACAGAAGAAGAGGGGACACAGAGTAAAAATTTAATAGTGGTTACCATCGCAAGGTCATCTGTTTCTCTGCCGGTCAGTTTCCGGAAATACATTAGAGGTTCTAATTTACCGACGGACTAAGCTGCCTACACTACCATGCCCCTTGCCAGTCGGGTTTTGTTTAACAATTGGAATTGACAATTTATCCTAATAGATTGATTGACCTCGGAACACAGAAACTCTTCAACAGCAAATCAAGAGGAGGACTACGCCAAGTGCACAGCGCTGGTTTCAATGGAGAAATTTTCCAGATTTAAACTTGATAAGTTTGTCTATTGATAAATAATTTTTCTATTTCAAACTGAAAAGTAATACGAGTGGTACAAACCTGCAGACATTGGTGATGTCAGCGCCAGAATAGCCGTCTAACATGGCTGCCACAGCGGTCAGATCGACGTCTTCATCCGTGGTCACGTCGCGCAGGTTGATTTTGAGGAGTGCTTCACGCCCCTCAGCTGCTCCAACAAAATATTCATAATCAAGAAAAGGCGAACCTATATATTCTGACTACTTCTGGCTGTCAAATTTCAAATGATTTACTCCCGCCTTTCAAATCACAAGTACAGAATTTCATTAGCGGTAAGCAACATCTTGCCTACCACTAAGGCGATTCATTCATCGGAATTGCAAGTTATTGATCAAATGTTATTTCTTATTGGGACGCTCGGTTCGACCTTCCTCACAAACTATGAAAATTATAAAAGCTCACAAATTCCTTAATTTGAGTGATGAAGAGTGCTGCCACCATCGTACAAAGCAGGTCTTGTTTAAACAATGAATTGATCTATTTAAATATCTAAGTATGTACCTCCTGCATGATCAATTTGTCAGCAGGTAATCAACAGAATACAGGTTTGTCTTGCCTGTAGGCAGCGGAATGTAGATGCGCTTCTCGAGCCGCCGCCTGAGCGCCTCGTCAATGTCCCAGGGGAAGTTAGTAGCAGCGAGCACCATCACCACCTTGGGCTCCTCTCTGTACACCCAAATACCTCTCATAGCGGCGAGCGAAGTCCAAATAAAAGGCATTACTAGAAACTACTTGAAGGGAAATTTGCTGGTTTTGAAATTTTTTCAATATGCTTAAGATTTATTCTATTTTATCCTTATTCTATCTATCTACACTAAGATTTGATGTTGATGGGCGAATGTAAAGTGTCAGAAAAAAAGAGAAATGATGTTGAGTCACGTGCGTTATTATTGACTATAAGTAAGATTTAGCATCTTCATTTATCCAGTCTTGTAACGATAGAATCTGTTAAAAACTCACTGGATGTTACCTTTTAACAAAATTTACTTGCGCGACGCCACGTTTTAAACATCTTATTAATTTAAAAAAAAATCAATTAAAAACATGAATCAAGTCAAATTCCTTGAAAAAAAGCACATTCTCATCTGCCTTACGAAATTCTGAATTAGGAAATAATAAATATAAGGAAAAAGTGGAAATAAATGAAGTGTGCGGTGACAGGACTCACTCGTTGGCTTGGATGCCGTCCATCTGTACGAGCAGCTCGCTCTTGACGCGTCGCGAGGCCTCGTGTTCAGACTCGGAGCCTCGGCGCGAGCACAGCGAGTCGATCTCGTCGATGAAGATGGTTGAGGGAGCGTGAAAACGAGCCTGTGTACGAGAGGAGCAACGTCAACGTCAGGATCATGGCCGCTTAAAATACAGAAGAGTAGGAATAAGTCGAAACCATCAACTTTATGCGAGCATTATTAATGATTGTGCATTGCACCGCAAAATAATGCAAACGTCTACAATTCTAGTTCAAGTCCATAGTATAGTCTCAGATTGTCAGTTACTGGATTAAGTCACACAAATTAGCATAGAGCGGACATGTTATTAGTTTGCTTCTTTGGCAAATAATTTCATTCTAAAGTAATTATGTAACTCCTGCTTTTACTGAAGTGCGACTAGCAATGTGACCAAAACCATGTTTTAGAAATGGGGATAAAATCTCACCAGCTCAAAGAGAAGCCTGACGAGCTTTTCGCTCTCGCCCCTGTACTTGGAGGTGAGTGTGGACGAAGATACATTAAAGAAAGTTGTGCCACATTCTGTGGCGACGGCTTTAGCCAGCATTGTCTTGCCGGTGCCAGGTGGCCCAACCATCAGTACTCCCTTCCAAGGGCGCCTGATGCCCTGAGAAAAGCACCCCAAACAATAAATTATTTCACCCGTGCAACAATTCAAACACCGTGGAAATCCAGTTTAAACTGCAGAATGAGTTCGATAAAATTTTTCTTCTACCGCCCTTGAAAATGGGTTCGGAAGAAAAAAAGACAAACAATAATAATTGAGTTTGCTTGATGAGCTAGATATACACTTGTTCCAGAAATTATTCATACCCCTTCAGAAATATAATGAATTTCAATTTTAAAGAACAATAAAGATCATTTACAACTTAGTATTCTAGAAAAGGTTGTCATTATAATGTAAAACAAATTTAATGCTAGAAAATATTTAGAAATAACTTTAAACAGTAATTATTTTGAATTTTGTGAGTAAGTAACTGTTCATAATTATTCGTACTTTCTTATTCCAGATCATTTATCATAATATTTGAGAACTTTTAATGGAAATAGTAGTATATACTCAACAATTGTATTTCAAAATTCGGTGTTATTTAGCAGTGTAATATTTTTCTCTGCAAAGCCCGAAAATATTATTTTTTCTACGATATAGAGAAAAGCTAAAATGTTGCTAAAAGTTTGCCGATGGCAAAGAAAAAAAAGCTTATAGTGATGATCTCAGAAACAAAATTGTAAATTCCCACAAAGAAGGGCTGTGATATCAAACAATATCTAAGAAGTTTGATGTTCTTACGTCTACAATACAGAGCATTAGAAAAAATGCAATTCATTTAAACACTGCGGATAATCTGTTGGGCCGTGGAATAAAGGGAAAAATCTCCCCTAAATGTGGTAGAAAGGTAATACGCTTTATTTGCAACTATCCTAGGATCACTTGCAAGGAAATTCTGTCAAATTTTGATGCTTCTGGTATGAAGGTATCAAGACAAATATTGCAAAGAACAATGCGTCGTAACGGACTGGAGGGTTGTCGACCCAGGAAAACTCCTTTGTTAACATAAAAGTATGTGAAAGCACGTATAAAGTTTGATCAAAATTATGTCAATTACCCAAACTCAATTTTCTCAAAGATGTTGTGGACAGATGAGACTAAAATAGAATTATTCGGGCATATGGATGTTGCTTACGATTGGAGAAAAAAGGTGAGGCTCATAATTCAAAAAACACAATCCCCACAGTTAAACATGGGGGTGGTAATCTTGTTTTTTAGGTTTCTTTATCTGCTAGGGGACCAGGAAATGTGATTAAAGTAAACGAGATCATAGAAAAAGAACAATATGTTGATATTATCAAAAATAACATCAAGCAGGATGAATAAGAACTTTCTCTTGGTCATGATTAGATTCTTCAGCAGGATTATGACCCGAAACACATATCGAAAATAGTCAATAAGTGGTTCAAGGATTCTTACATCAATGTCATGGAATGACCTAGTCAAATTTCCGATCTCATTCCGATTGAGAATTTGTGGCGAGTACTGAAAATATAGATGAAAAAGAGATAACCTAAAATTGGGAAGAATTGGAACGGTATCCCTAGGACGAATGGACAAAACTTAGCGTCATTGCATGCAGGAACCTTGTTGACCATTACCCAAAGCGTTTACAACAAGTTATCAATCGCAAAGGCCATGTTATCAACTATTGATTCAGGGTACGAATAAATTTGGTCATTAGTCAGCTTTATGCTTCCTTTGTATCTCTTTACCAAACAGAAAAATAATGGTTTTTGGTTTCTAAATGCATGTTATATGGTTCATATAAATGGTTTACATCTCCTCTAAAAATTTAGATAATTATTTTTTGGTCTATTTCTCGTAATTTGTCAAAATGACGTTAGGGTATGAATAATTTCGGGCACAAGTGTATATCCTCCTAACTAGATATTGACTCCTTGTAGAGCTCTACATAAATCATTTTGATAATATAAATTTATTCTAAAATCCTCTAGGACTAATCCCAATAGGTACTATTGGGAATACTGAAGAAACAGTATTAATGAGGTATTATTTGTGATGCAGCAAGAGCTACCTTAAAGAAGTCCGGCATGAGCATGGGCAAGACAACTGCTTCTTCGAGCAAACGTTTGGCGTTCTGCAGATCAGCGATGTCCGTCCAGCGGATGTTGGGATTTGCCTGCACGATGTCGCGCTGCACGGTTTCTACCAGGTCGCGCTCGTAGCCCAGGCCCTCGAATATGCGCTCCTTCTCTTCCTCTTCTCCGCCCTACAAACCACAGCATTTATTAGGTGATATGGTACTCATCACAACATGCAACGAGATATTGATCAACTATACATAACAAAATATGTAGGGTTAGACAAAAAAGATAGAAAACTACAGCTCTAGTTAGGTGACATTAAATAAGAAGACATGTTATAGCGGACAAGAACTCGATGAAAATAACGTTATATTTTTCAAAGTTCTAAAGCAATATTAAAATAACGATAGCTTCTACTCTAAAGATAATTATTACCGTTCAATAATTAAATCAGACCACAAGTTATGTTGTAAAATAGATTATTTTACGATACACATGATAGTATTTTGTCAACTTATTAAGATGATATTCTCATCCGAAAAGTAAATCCGTGCACTAGAGTCGCTCTTCAGCATGGACTAGTTTCCGACTTCTTATTATTATTATTATATTTTTTTTGTTTTAACCACATAGGTACTGATCAGGAAAAAACGGTACAGTACAGTGCATCGGTACTGGAAAGGTTCGGCTACTGTTGGTTGCATTAGCACTCATTATTATCTTTTGCACAGAGCGTCTGCTTACGTTTTATTGTGTTATAGACCAACGGAAGGGTAAAGAGGTTCAGAAAGAAGAGCTTTACGAGGATTTAGAACTCACTTCCTCCTTCTTGCCATCCTTATCTTTTTTCTTCTTCTCGTCGCGCTTAGCCGTGCCTGCTTTGGCGGTGTCAGCTTTCTTGCCAGTGGCAGGCTTTGTGGCGGTCGACCTGCCAGCCTTGGCTGGGGGATCTTTCTGACGAGGGCCGCGAGTAGGACGTGCTTGCTGGCCCGACCGACTGTAGACGCAGTTCTTATTTTAATTAACGTCGCTAAAAACAAGTAAGTAAGTAGTAGATTGGTTTACTAGCGCTTCAGCTTTCAAGCTATTTCGCACCGGAAGTCGAAAATACAAATCGCCAGCGAGGCGGAAGGTCTTAATTATTCAGAGTCTCAAATTGTTCATCACCCACAAGGGGCGGAAGGTCTCAGATGTCCAGCCCGCTGAAGCTGGCTCGAAAGAAGCAGCGTTAGCATCTCAAAGAGACGAAATGACAAGGAGGGACAGGTGAAAAGCAAAAGAAACGAAGACACTCGAACAAGAGGCCGCTTACACGGGACGTCGGCCGCCCGCACGAGAGAGACAGAGAAGGGAAATGTAAGGAATCCTACCTACATAATAACTTAACCCCACAACTGAGACCTGCAGTCAGACACCGCGAGCTCAGCGGTGGGGCGCTGAGGAACAATCCCCCCTAGGAGCGCGAAATCCCATAGGACTTCTGACGAGCACAGACACACGGCAGAAGTCCCCCTGAGGGGATCTATAATAGAATGTATGGCTAAGTGAAAGTTTCGTCAAATGAATAACAAGATTGAAAGAAAACTGCATCTACAGCAAGACTCGCGGAATATTCAAGAACAGTTAACGATATGGCAGCACCTCTGTGCAGCAGCAGAAGCATCGTCTGCTCAGGTGAACGATGGATGCTAAAGCATTTGTTCAAGTGGACACTCTTTAAAAGTCCCCCAACAAAATTATAATAAATAAATAAAACTGCTTGAGATCATGAGAATCTTTAAACTAATCACACAAACAAATAAGCTCCATTATAATATTAAATTATGAAGACAAGCATACCAATACCATGCATATAATGGTTTTCCTTTTGATGCGATAAATTGTGGTTAAACATTCTACAATAAGGTTTCAATTTGTCAAGCACCAGCTGATTGCCTGTCCCACGTGCATGTGTATCACCAGCTCTTAAATAAATAATTAGCGGACCAATCCGAGAATATTGACTACACTGACTCATCAATAACAGAGCAAGAGACGCAAAATTACTGCAATACTTGTAACTCATTCATTTTTAAATTTTACTGTGAAAATCTTTGCAAATTTTTTGAGCCTGCGTTTGAATATGGTAATATGATCTTATATACCTATTTAATAGGTAATATGATCTACATATTTAATAGGTAATATGATCTACATATTTAATAGGTAATATGATCTACAATTATAAGTGTCACAATAAAAAAAGGCTTAGAAAATATATGGAAACTGCCCAGGTGGTGTTCAAATGCAGGGCAAAACAAGAGGTTTATAGACACCTGATTTAAATTTAGCTCTGCACTTATGATCTATCAGTGAAATTGTAAACATTCATTATTTTTTAAATAATACCGGTACCAAGTGAAATTAACCAAATAAAAACCTATAAACGCACCAGTCAGTGTCGAGTCTAAAGCCTGATTACTGGAGACCAAAGCATGAAAATTTATTTTATAGGAATTTAACTAAATGGAAATAAATTGAAATAAATTTTGGACCAGACACATTATATTTAAGAAGATTTTCTTATTTAAGAAGATTTCTTCATGACTGGCACCTGATGAATGTGGCAGTCAAATGAATCATCTTGATCAAATACTCAAGAGATATGTTTTAAAAATAACACTTTTTGTAGACTTCTTAATCTGAGTAAAATATTTTACCATTGAAGAGCCTGCTCTTCAAGTGTTCTCTCTCAGATTATTTTCTCTAATTTTTGCACTAGGAAAAATCACTTAAAAATTAAATTAAACAACTGCTTCCAGTTGACCATGCATGATAGGCCGCGTTGCAAAACAACAAAACAAGTAATTCTGTTCAAGTAGGAGCTAAGTTAATAGCCATGGCAACATGTTCATCTCACAGCCTCAAGAGGGATCCACACATTATTTTAAGACATGCCAAAATAAGATGCCCCAAAAATTTGCATTGGCCATGTATATTTGATGAAATCGAATTGGATTAATTTTTCTTGACAGCTACAGTAATGAGTGCCAAGTTCTATTAATGAAATATAGGAATGTTTTCATTATTACTGAATGCAAAAGGTTTCCAAGAAATGAATTATAATTAATTCTGAGGTATGTACTTTTGATTAACCAGTAGGTACATAAAGACATATCAAACTCTTGCACTCAGACTGCAAGAGATGCAATAGAGTCCAAATTTTTGGATAGAAAACTTATTTCTACAGGAGTTTCAAGCTATAAAACATCTCCCTGACTTCGCACTACATTAACAAGCTCCTCCAGGCTGGGCATGATGGGTTCCAATTGACTGTCCATGGTGAGGAAGTCTCCCGTGTTGCCGGTTGCCACTCCTACAAAGTGCATGTGAACATTGCCTTTGTTCATACTCACCACCTGCACACAAATGTTTATTATTAGCCTTTTCCACAACAGGGACCTTGACTTTATGCATTATTTTAGCCATGAAATTTTTTTTACAAATCTCAATAACAACAAAGATTGCAATTGTGATCAACCAGAAATATATTGATGGTTTCTTTCTTTTTTAATTTTAATCTGAATTAAATTACATTTTATTTGCATGCCTTGCTATTTAAAGGAGACTGCATGAAAATTTTTGATCAGAAATTCAACCAAGTTAATATTCAAGCTTTTCCCAGGTTTATACAACAAATTTAAACTATAAATATTTTGATTTATAAATTTTAAATTATTCATTAGAGCTGAATTTATCATTGCAATATTCTAATTCAGATCATTTCAGAACAAAGATAATGAAACTCAAAAGCAAAATAACAATTACAATTCAATACAATGATTACCTATACATAGAATTGCAAACAAATTCATCTAACTTCCATACCTGAAATTTATCATACAAGCAGACAATTGTTTGGTTCCTGCCTAAGCCAAGCTTGCTGGCTTGGTCTGATGCTGAAGCAAAAGGAGCAACGTAGCTGCTGCGCTGACTCAGCTCAGGGTTGTCTTTACTGCACACTAAATTTTGCAGTAAATGTTAATGCACTCAGCCAAGGAAACAACATTCAGAACATTTATTGACTGTAAACTAAAACAGTATGATCAAAAAAGCATCAAAACAATAACATTATTCTATTCTTTATGATTATCGATCAAATTTAGATTGTAAATACATGCTAGTATTTTTTATTCGAAATAGAATAACTTAAAGCTGAGACTTATAACTCAGTCAAAGCATCTTCAGTATACCAATACATTTTCTTTGTCACCTCGGTTGTCATGTTACTCTTTTTTCACCATTGTAAATGCATTTAAATGTATATATAATTAAGCAAATTTTTTAAACAAAAAACTTTTACATTTCAGGGTCATTACTTAAATTCAATTTCAATATATAGCAATCAAGGTCTAAAAGGAAGCACTATATTGAGCAATAACTTTTTAACAGTAAAATCATATTCCTCATAGGAATAATTATTATGTTCAGTGACTCCCAATGCCTATATAATTGATTATCATTACTGCAGGTTTCATTAAAGACCAGAGAGTATTTCATATTGAAACTTGCATTGATGAAATACTTCTGCTGAACTACACCAAATTGATTATAACTGCATACATTAAAATAATAATAGTGCATGATTGGTAAATCAACAGATAAGAGAAATTTTGAAATTTAATTAGGTGAAAGGACAAAGAAATTATATGATGATGGCAAGGACATCCTCACCTTTAAGTATAAGCACCCCATCTTTGTCAGTGATAACAATTGCCAGAAGACCAGGAGTGCTGCAGGTTACATGAATAGAGGAAAAAAGTTTCATGAATTTATATTTACAACAATTTTCAACTTGAACATTTAATGACATAGCAATAAGAATTCTCCAAATCCTTAAGTTTTGCAGAACTGTTTTTTAACAATGCTTCATAAACAATGTCAGCTGTAGCCACAGTGCTCTTGCTACAGTATAGGAATGTGATCTTGTATCAACTCTTTAAGGGGAGCATCTACCCCAAAATCTATCTTGGTTATTTACAGACGGATAACTTTGAAACTTGGTACACACATGTAAAACAGAAATCTAAGCCTTTTTTGTTGTGTAAAGTTAAAAAAAAATGTGAAACTCTTAGAAAATGGCCAAAAAAGGGGTACTACTGCAGATTTTTAGACAAACTCCTCCTAGGATTTTCAAGCTACAACATCGAGACACATACCATTCAATGCAAAAAGACCATATCTATAAAATGATGCATGGGTTTTTTGGAATTCTTATTTTTGTGGGTGTGAGGGCATTTTTGGCGCATTTTCTCATTTGTGGAAAAAATGCACTATTGGGCTCGCCATGTCCGTCTGTCTGTCCGTCCGTCCGTCCATCTGCGACCTCAAGTTTTCGTCAACGAGAAAATGCGCTCTCTGTCACTCACTGCTGTGAGTACTGAGTTACATTTTTCATAAATTTTTTTAATTTTACCTACTACTGCACCCATTTTTTGCAGGATAAAATTCAAACTATAACAAAATTATAAAAACCTATATATATATAATTTTGTAGATTGTTTCTTTGTGCATTGAATGGTATATTTCTCACTGTTGTAGCTTCAAAACTCTAGGAGGAGATGGGTTTGCCATGAGAGCTGTTGTAGGCTTTCAGGAGAGGAGATAAATGGCCCACTGGCAGTGCGCACACTATGTAAGGGCATGTAACGTAGCTTAGATATTGAAAGTAAGCATTATCTCACTTTTAAGTCAATCAGTGATGCATAGGACAACTGCCATTAATTATATTAGAGCTGCAATACTGAAAAAGTAGGATTTTTCCCAACCTGTCTCTTATTACCCTGTCTTGAAATGGCCACCATTTTTTTGGAATAAGATCCACAAGTTCTGTCAATCACACATTCACACTTTTATGCAACATCTGTGTACAACTTTTATGCAAGTAATATTTGTTTAATATGATGAATATTTTTTCTGCTACAAACCTTAGGCTTAACAGCTGTACCTTTCCAAAATCTCACTTTCCACACTTTCTCTCATGGATTTTTTTAGAGGAGGTAGGAGGAGGTAGTAAATGTATGATTTCTCAACTTGCTATATGCTACTGTGAAATGGGATAACTTAAACTCCAAGGGTAACTTAAACTCCAAGGGTAACTTAGACAACTTTTAGTTTTTTTAACAAAACCCCCAAAACTCAAAAACTATTTGACACAGAAAAATTTTGTCAATGGGCATTAAAGGCTTAATACTGAGGCTACGTAACACAATAGAAAGATAAAATAATTATGCATATCTAATAGGTTAAAAAATGAAAAATGTGACCCATGAAAAAGAGCTATTATTTAAAGCCTGTCATAGAAACCCCTCCAATTTTTTCATCTTTTGGTAAAATAACTCCAGGTTTTGGTACGTTGTAGTAAAACTCTTCTAGTTACATACGCAAATGACAAATTTGAGGAAAGTGTCAGTTTGCAAATTGGGGGCGCTGACCCTGAATGGGGGAACTTAGACCACCTAATGTCAGCCCTGATGGGGTAACATAGACCAGCTTCGAAATTAACTTAAAATTTCCATACCATATAACATATTTCATGTTTGATACACCTATTAATGTTCTTTCTTTATGTTTCAGACTATACATACTCTTATATATGGTAATTTTAACTCAATTTCCAAACTGGTCAATTTTACCTCTTCACAGCTGACATTAGGTTAGGTGGTCTAAGTTCCCCCATTCAGGGGTGGCGCCACCCATTTGCAAGCTATGAAACTTTCCTCAAATTTGTCATTTGCATATGTAACTAGAAGAGTTCTACAACAATGCACCAAAACTTGGAGTTATTTGAAGTTATTTTATTAAAAAATATAATTGATTTTACCACCCAGTCAGGCCAGTCTAAGATACCCTAAGAGCTGGGGTAACAAAGACCATCACTTTTTTTGAAATTACATAAAAACAAGTCCAGTAAGTAGACCAGTAAAGTATCATGGATACCAGCATTACCGTCAACCGGGGCTACTCGGGATGGGCGGGGCTACTTGGGACAGTCCTCCAATATGGCGTAAAACTGTTATAGTAGCAAAACTAATTGGAATATTGCAAAACTAAATATAGTGGCGTAAACATCAACATTTTTCCTATCTATGTAGGTAGTATAAAGTCGAAAAACACTACATTTACCAGCTTTCAAAAATTCCTGAAAAAAATTGTGAAAAACGCCATTTTTGAAAAGTTACGTAATTGACGTAATTGAAAACGTAATTGACGGAATTGTCCTATCTCATTCCAAAAAAATGGCGGTCATTTCCGCACGGCGGGGCTACTCGGGACACCCCCCTCCCCCCCCGGGGCTATTCGGGACACCCATAAAAACGCATTTACAGTAGAACCTCAGTAAGCAAAGGCTCCAGTTCAGAAAAAAATGGATTAAAAACAAAGAATATTGATTACATTTACCTCGCTCGGTGAAAAAAATTTCACTTATCAACAAATTAGTGAGAAGTAATTGACCTAAACAATGATTTATTTCTCCAAAATATATGATGGTTGTCACTAAAACATTCCTTTCTGTTTCAGGTATGTTTTTCATGATCTTTTTTTTTTAAAGTAAATTCACTTAACCCAATTAACACGTTGGCCGCGATGTGCGCCATATATGTACACGCTGTACTTCTCAGAATCACGATGTGTACACATGTGGTACATTCATATGAAAAATACATATTTTTATAAAATCTTATTACACTTTCAAATTTAAAATTTCAATGATGCAATTAAATAGGCATGTTAGGGAATGCTTTGAAGTCAACTAATGCTTAGAGAAATAGTTTTATTTTCAAATGCAAGTAATACAAAAATTACGAAATTTGTGTCCATTGATGAAAGCAATATATA